GTGTGTGTGTGTGTGTGTGTGTGTGTGTGTGTGCATAGTCACCTGTCTGCTCTAGCGGAAAGGGACATGTCTGGCTATTCAACCTCAGTTGAATCCTGGCTTACTGATTGCTGGGGTTGACAATCTTGAAGCATAGACAGGAGCAACATCATCAGATTCAAAGTCAGAGTTAGGTTTTGCATCATAATAGTTATTGCCTTCAGCAGAATAATGTTGCAATTCTTGGATTTGATTAATTTCATGTTAATGAAAGGTAGGATGTGCTATTCAGATGGATGTAGTATGTAGCTTTACTTCAGAATGACAATATCTTGGTATAATCTTTATGGATTCCCAGTTTCAGTTATTTTCTGTTAGAGGTTATGAACAGGAGTCATAAAAGAATCTGCTTTTCAAAAATTATTCCTAAAATGTTGATATTGTAAATAGTATCCTTGAAGATAAAATGAAATGATAAAATTCTAAGAAAGCTGCTACATCATTCCATTTTATTCCCATTCATCTCTTTCAGTTGCCTTATTGATTCTGACAAAAGGCAGAAATAACTCAAATCAACCTTGTTGAAAAAGAGTCCCGTATAAAAGAATGTTTTAGCTAAAATCAGTTGTGGAAATCTGCATCAAATAATTTTTAATTACAATCAATTGTTGAACTGTTGTCAAAGTTGTTGAGTGAATATTAAAATACTGTTTTGCTTTTCTTTTTTAAGGAAATGATAATTGACAAGGTAAATGGTCAAGTTGTTCCTCGGTACTTGATATATGACATAATAAAATTCAATGTAAGTATGTTATATTTTGATTAGCCCAATTGTCTGTGTAACTTGTAGGTTTTAGAAGGGAGGAATGTTTTTAATAAATATAGATAAATCAAAGGTGCCTTTGGAAAGACCAGAATAATGCACTCAATTAAATCAATCAAATGTTATAAAACATATAATAGATTGTCATATTTGTGATAATATAGAATGCACTTTCAAATATGTTTACAGTGGTTTGAATGATAGAACTAATCTGACTTCTAAAGTTAGTCCAAGTTTTTCTAAAATTTCTTGAAGAATTATGTTAAGACAAACTCTGATATTTTTTTTTTAAAAAAGGAGTGGGGAGATGTAAGAAAGTGATGAAGAAGAACTACAGGCATACTTCATTTTTTAGGTAGATAGACTATTTAGAGTTGCCTAGAGTCATTTGCTAAGTGGCTATAGAAATAAAATAAGTAAGTAAATAAATACATTTATTTAGAGAACTTGTGAAGTACAATGACCTTTTGCCCTATTTAATAGAGGGAACAGTAGATTTTTCTGAATGAACTTCCAGTTATAGATTTAGCATGCCCAGAATAGAAGGAAAGGCAAAACTTGTGTTATGTACCTAAAGTTTGCTCTTTGTTCTATTTGCTCTTTTATTTTTTATTTTGAGTCCATTGTTCTCTCTGCCTCTCATTACTATTTCATCAACACAGTATCCTGTTTTTAATTCCGTAAATTAATTTTTATAACTTGTTTGCTTCTTCGCTGAAACTTAGTTTTT